TTCGACAAAGCATCTGCAGAAGATCTTGCAAGTAGCCCTGCTGCATCGTTGTTTTCGCTTATGTTCGTGGACAATCTTCCCGAAGCTGAACTCTCAGGGGCGCCTGAGGCAGTGATGGTTAATGTTATCCCAAATTCAAGACGGTGTTCCAGTACCACGTGTCTATTCCGCAGGCCTAGCGACGGTACTCAAAGAGCAGTAGAAGAGTGAGTTGAGTTTAAAGAAGGGGGAGGGAATGAAAGAGAGCATCACACGCTATGCTCTGCGTTCACACACCATCTTTCTTCTCCTTCCTTCAAATCTATAAGAGACATCCCCCCACTTCTTCTTTTTTTTTTTTTTAGAATGAAAGTGCCGATGGAAAGTCGAAGAGACAACGTATATTGTACATAATTCGGGGTTGCACAGAGGGCGCAAGCCGTAGCAAACCGACTTCTGAACAGAGAAAAGCGCATGGGGGTTGCTTCTAGGCTGCACCATATTGACGAAGAGCCGGGGCCCGGGACAGAGTTGGCTGACACCTAGCTGACATGGAGTCATGGACGAAAGATTGATGGGAATACCTCCTTATTTCGAAGAACTGAACAGTATGCCGGCATGACTGATTTGTCTCCCGGTTCAACGGCGCTCCCAAGTTCCAACGCCCACGGGCCACGGTCTACCCCAGACCCTGGCAGTGGGCACCCCTCATGGCCTCATCCCAGGGCGTTAATGCCAAAATGGAATAATATCCGATTTTCGCTTCGTTCCAGTGCCAAGAACTAAGCTGTTAGCTGCAGGTGGCCGGAGAAGTGATATCCTCCGACTGTCCGAGACCCGAAGAAAGCTTCCCTAAAAGCCAGTCGTTATCATAGCAGTCGTGGGTTATTATCGGGAGCTTTCCCATTCGTCTCAGGCCGAGATGGGCGAGTAGGTAATTATTAACGGGTGTTGGATGTCTTGGAACCGATTTTCGGAATAGATCCAGGCCCAGCTTCTTTGGTCTCGGGAGTTATAACTTTGTGCTTTGGTCAAACAAGTTCTTTTCTTGTTAATTTTTGTTTCTTCACGCCCGATTGTCTCTTTCTTGTAGGCGGTAGTTCGAAGTTTTATCGTCGGTCTTCCACTGAGTCGACTCCTTGACTTTCGTTTCGCTTTTATCCTGAGTGGGGGGGAGTTTCTTCCCGATCACCACGAGAGAGCCTATCGCCTAGGGTCCGTACTTGGCAGTCTAGGCCCGTGACCCGTCGGGAGACCCGCCTTGACATTTAGACTTCTGAATCTGACCCCTTGTTAGCCCCTTGTAGGCTTGTACTAGGCATAGGTCTCCTTCTTGGCCTTTTAGCCCTTAGGGGCGTTGAGATAGCAGGCTAACTGGCGTCGCCCCCCTACCTCAGACATGGCGATGGCGACTACCAGGTTACAGACAGACTGAGGCGCCGGACTACAGTCCTGGACGAATACGATGTAGTCTCTTCTCGCGTGACTTGGCCGTAGAAGGGATAGTGGCGGTAGCGCCCTTTGTTTGCTCTTCGGCGACCCTCGGGGATTTAGCGTCTTGGCAAGATAATCGCATGGGCGCAGTGCACGCTGCATGCGTATAATGGTAAATACATACGGTATGCAATTACAACGTGTGCACATCTCTAGGAATTAGTCCTTGCAGATTTCGGCCGGCATTGAAGGACACTCACCGCCGTTAATGTGTCGCTACTGTCACCCCTAGTTTCTAAAGGCCAAGGGCCTACGCAAGCGTCTTGGGACGCCCACTATGGCACTATGCCGCTGTCAATTTCCAACGGCTTAGTACAGGCTTTCCGGTTCAGATAAGTTGGTAGCCATGGCCCATAGGGGCCGGGTCGTCGGGAAAAACCAACCGATCGCCGAGACGCTTGTGTAAGGTATGCACTATTCGCCTTGGAATTGCCTAGTTTCCGCATCTTAAAGCCCCAATTCTTGATTAGATGATACGGGGTAGTCGGCTGCGGCAACTGAGTTTGTATTCGAGAACGTCTGTGCCGCAACATGAGACTGTGAGACTGTGAGACCCATTTTAAGCAGCGTTGCTCTTTGATCAATCAAATCAGATTAGGGTTATTAAATTAACTGATTGACTCTATCGCCGGCGTGAAGTTAACTGATTAGTAACTAATTGATTGAATTAATATACCTAGGTATAAGCCACGTTAGTAATTACCTAGAAGTAAGGCTATTCCTAGATATAGATAACTTATCTATACTATCTCCACACGCCTATTACTACCCCTACCCTTAATCTAATAGAGACTAGATCCTGCTATAGCCAGCTTTTAAGGGTCTAAATAGCTTTAAGTGTTACTAGCGATATCCTCTGCTACTAGCTTATTAAAGTTAGCTTCGCTGAGCTAAATACCCTCTTATAGTCTACTACTATCGCTAGTATTCTAAAGATATTAATCGCTAGCTTATTAAGCGTCAGAAAGGCTTACTACTACTCGTACTATTACTTAATTAGATCCCTAACGCCTTATATATCTAGGTGTAGATATCTCTTAACCGTAAACCCCCTATTAACTATAGGTGTTTAAGAGCTAGCGTAAATCCACTACGTATAATAGCTATCCTCTACCCTTACTAACGCTTTAAAGCTAGTAAAGACGCCTTAGCTACTATTACTACTTTAGTCTTAATTATTAGGTTATTAGTAGCGATACTACGTATCTTAATATTTAATAAGGCCTTTTTTAGTATTATAAAGCTAGGATAATTAGTACTTAATAATCTAGCGCTATTCTAAATAAGTAAAACTAAGCCTAGTAAATAGAATTATAGCTAAAGTATAATAGGGGTATTCTTCTGGCTTTATATAATAATCGTTTAGTTTTTACTAGGTATTAAGTATAGAGAGTCAGAAATATACCTTTAAATTAATTACTAAGCTCTTATAGCCACTTCGTTCATAACTTATATAGATTAATATTAATTTAGAGGATTAGGAGGCTCGCGAGGCTTAAGAGGAGGCTTAAGAAGAGGCTTAGCTTTCGAGAAATATTAATATAGGGCGGCGCTAGCGTTATAGACGTTAAAGAGGTCAGGAAGGTTCGTTATAAAAGAATTATAAAGCTGTGTCTTTAATAATATCGTTAGTTATATTATTAAAAAGAGTCTTCTAGCCTTTAAAGTGATTAAGAAGATACTTTATTCTAATAAAGACCTCCTTAAAGCGTCTATAGCCTTTATCTATTCTCTAGCCCTAGTATCTTATCTTCTAGTTATATAGCCGCTTTGAGACTTTATAAAGCTCGGCTAATAGCTTCTAATCTTTAAAGGTAAGAATATTATTTTATAGTATTTATTAAGATATATTAGGGGAGGCTTAACTCTTAAGGAGGAAGATCCTAATCTATTCTTATTTTTTTAAAGTAAAATCCAGTATTAGGTAGGTAGAATTCTACCTAGTCTCGTTATTTAAAGTAAGCTCGAGCTTTATAGTTAACGGCTCGTAGAAATAATATCATAAAAAGGCCTGATCTTTAGCTTTAATCCTACCTACTAGGGCTTTAAAGCTATAGCTATATTATAGCGAGCTTCTAATAAATTTAACGATATTACGAAACTTACTAATAGGCCCTTTCCACTACTAGTATTAAAGATTGCCCTGGAGATAGTCGGATGTAATTAATTACTAGAATTACTGCCTATAATTAGAAGGATTAGTATTTATAACTTAAATAAAGGTATTACTAATAGAATTAAATTATATCTAAACCTACTTAACCTTAGAGTCTTCTGTATATAGAAACGCCCTACTATTAAGGTTTAAATATACCTATAGCAGAGTATTCTATAGGTAGCAGTATATCTTCCTTCTATACTAAGCCTAATAAAAAAAGACTTTATTATCTTGTTATTAGTAGAGGTACTATCGGATATACTTATTCCTATAATAGAACCTAGTCGCTAATTCTATATAATAGTATATAGACTTAAAGTAATATTCTCTTTAGTATAAGTACCTGATTACTAGTATAGGATAAGTAGGATACTCTATAGTGTATTACGAGGACCTAATAAATAGGCAGTTATCGCCAGAATCGCGTGTCGGTTAGGGGACGTTCATAACTTAAAGCTAAGATGGATCTTACTCGAGGATTATAGGAGTTTTTACTATATTACTATCCGTTTCTCTAGATAAATACCTATACATTAGCTTAAATAGGGTAAGGATTAGTATAATAAAAGGTATACCTTTATAGATAAAGATTAGTAGTCTTATAGCATACTATACGTAAGTGGCAGTTATTAGAAGAGGCTAGGAGTAAATGCTTATAGTATCTAGTAGAGGTATAGATCTTTAAACACAGAAAAGAGCTAGTTAGAGTTAACGATAAAGCTAATAGTAAGCTCCTATAAGCTAGAGAATTAACCCCTGGAGATAAGTACAATTTTTAAAGGTTATTATACCTCCTATGGATCGTTAGATTTAGTTCTTAGATATACCCTTACTAGTATTACTAGATAGAAGGATTTTATACTTCCTGCGTAGGTGGTCTACGGCAGAACTAGTGGTTTAAGTCTTAAATAGGACTATAAAGCTACCTTATTAAGCGTAGTGGCGGTATACCTAAAAGTAATTATTATATATATCGTTATAAGAGAGCTTACATATAAAGAGGCCGTGATTCTTAATCGAGCTAGTCCTGCCTCGAGATCCTCTTTTATATACTTAATCGGTATGGATAAACCGTCTATTTTACTATATCGCGATAGGCATTAAATCAGAGCTTTAATAGTTGAATTAAATCTCTAGAGAGGGAGGGCGGCTAGCTCTAAATATCGTGAGGCTTATAATAAAAGGTAAAGGAGGCAGTTGTAGATACTATGGATTAAAGATGGTAGAGGATACTATAAATACTATAGATTACCGAATTATTTCCTAGCTATAATTAGGCCCTCGATTATGATTATAATCATAACTATAGGTATAGCTACTAAAAAGGCATATACGGAGTAGAATAGAAATATGTTCCTAATAATATGCGGTCTATATAGTATAACGGTATACTACTAACTATTTTATTTAGAGCTTATAGGTTCGAATCCTATTATAGGCATTCATTCTGACTCTTTAACGCGTTTCGGAACAGAGTGTCAAGTGGTTTATTTTTTTATTCTTTTGACCAATTTTTCTAGAATTTCTATTGGTCTGGAACTGGATTATTACTATGCCGGTCAATACCACGGAGTTGATTATTAACCTAATTCCGAGGGTATAAATTAACTGATTGAATTAAGGGAAAAAGAGGCCTAAATTAATTGACCGATTAATTGAATTGGACTGTTGGATCTGATCGAAGAGCAACGCTGGGTAACTGTTATTAGTTAGACGAATAGAGCTTAACGTACAAGACAGCATCTTATTATTCTTTAATGACTGCCAATAGATATTATCAAAATGGTCTCTTTTATTCTATTCCCTTTCTCTTAATATATATATCTATATTACGAAAGAACTCTTCTGTTTCTTCTCCGCGGCCTATATAATAATGTATACTGTATTAAAGGTTTATATAATTATACTTTACTAATCAACTTACAAAGTATCTGAATGTAGAAAATTTAGATTCAAGATTTTAATATTGAGTATTATTTTTAGTTTTGTATACATTAAGAACAAATAGGTCTTCAGTTTATGTTTTCCGATATTTTACAGATCTTAACTTAGACAATAATAAAGATAGGTAATTCTTTTATATTATAATAAGCTGAGTAGTGAATATAGTAAGTTGAATGCCTTACATATGCCCTTTGCTTCGGTAGTACCTTATGTAAAGACTGTACTTTGTCCGTAGCACACACCCAGCGCTCCTTCTTAAGTTCTTTCCTTACCCCTTACCTTAACTTACCTTAGGTACCGTAGGTAGGTGGGTAGATATGTATGTACCTACCTCTATCTGGAAAGTGTTTTGTTTTAGGTAGGTACACCAATACGTATTTCTTTCTCCCTCCGGTATTAGACGAGAAATGGAAACTACTACCTTCTGGAGGGTGCCTTCCTAAGCTGCGTGTCTGCCGGCAGTGCCGCCTTCCTCATCAACCCCTTACCGGCCATATGGGTATCTATGGGCGTTTCTCCCGTCACCTCAGCCTAGGACTACTAACCTACGCCCTGCAACATCCCTTTCCGAGCCCCCCATCTTCTTTCTTTTTTCTTCAACAACCAAAGAGCGCAACCCACGATTATCCTACTCTGCATTGTGTTGTGTCTGCATCATCAAGATTTTTTCTCTTATTCACTGCCCATTAGTCGACAAGATTTCTGCGCCATGACAGACACCTCTCCCGTCAACCTGGACGACAAGTCTGATCTTCTCGCCTTCTTGGCCACTCTGCCCCGTCAAGTTCTTCGCCGTGCTCTTGCCGCCGATGAACGGCAACATATCAATGTCTCCGCTGGGATGCAACAAATCTCAGCTCTTGGCCAGGACTTCATCATGGACACTACCAACTACACGTTGCCCATCTTCACTCAGACACTTCCGAATCTCGGTCATCTTACGGCCGAACAAGATCAAAATATTATCGCTGCAGCACCGGAGGTTCAACCAGAGGCAACCAAGACCAGAAGTCTTCGCCCGCTAAATGCTTTCATGGCCTTCAGATGTGGGTAATTTCTCTCTCTCATGCTTCATGCTGTTCTCAGTCAGCTAACCTGACATGATCAGCCTGGTATTCGCGAATTTGCCCGGATGCTCCACAGAAGGATATTTCTTCTCTCATTACCAAATTGTGGGAGAAAGATGGCTTCCGCAACTCATGGTCTCTCGTTGCGAAGATGTACTCCAGCATTCGCGACATTGTCGGGAAAGACAATGTCAGCCTGAAGGAATTCTTGGCCGTCGCCTGTCCTATCATGCATCTTGTTTCCCCCGCCGATTACCTCGATACTTATCATTGGGAAATCCGGGTGGATCAAGATGGCATGCGAGAACTTTGCCAGAATGAAGACACGGCGAAACAAATTATCGCCGTCCGACTTCAGAAGGCTGTTCCCGCTACAGAGATCGATCTTCTTCACGAGGTTCTCAAGACTGGTTTTATGCCAAATCACGCCCAAGTACTCATCCAGCAGATGACTGTAAATTTCATGGGAGTTATGATAACCACTGGCGGTAACAAGATCGAGCGTTTTGCAAATGTTCTTCTTGATAACCCGAACGCGACCGCGGCGAAAGTCTTTGGGGGTCTTCATCATGTTTCGTCTGTCAACATCACACAGGTCGATAACTTTGAGAACGTTGAGGAAGGCCGCGTTCTCGCAACAAATTCGTCTACCTTTCAGGAGGGAGGGTTCAATTTCGACAACAGTCCATCTGAAACCTTGTCTCCAAATGATGGAAATCGCAGCCAGCTTACCGACCCTGTCCAGTCGCCCTTGGTAGAGAATGATGGCACTCTCGCGGATACGGATCTGTTTTCTGCCTATGAGATGGCAGCCTTCCAGCAACTTGACAATGCTGCTATAGAATCTTCTTTTGAGGGTCTCCAGGGCTATGATCCGGAAGATGTTTTCGGCTTTAATTCGTCACTCAACCAGCCAACTTTTGGTGACGTCGACTGTGAGTCTTCCTAGTTTCTTTTTTTGGAATATTTTAAGCTAATGACCTCTGAAGCCCAATATATACAGGGCGGAGAATTTGCAAGTGGCACTACCGCTTTCCCGCATTTCTTCTAAGTGGTTCCATGGTGCAAAAAGGTTGATCGTAACTGCACTCATCGAAACTACACAGGAAGAGAGGGTGAATTGGCTACCAAACAAGTAACTTGACGAGAATTACGACCGAAGGAATAATGATAGCGGTCCTAGTGACTGCATTGACACTGTGGAAGATGGCCTGGGATGAAACGGAACGTGAGAAAGCGGGACACAGCAGGTGTCACAGAAATTTGGCGCTAATTGAGATACCAGAGAGCGCATTGTGTACTTACTATACGACTCGGATGACAATTCCTATGGTGGCTATTTGATGGATTCCGATGATGGCAGTTGCGGGCGACCGGGTGAGACCTTGCAGAGTTTTGGTACGTTTCGTCGTTTGCAGCGCGAGCGAAACGCATGAAGATTGGCTTCTCAGCTCTTTTTTTCATTAGTCCCTGCACCGCGGGTTTCGACAAGGGTAGATTGGGTAGACAGACATATAAAGTGAGCGATCACTACTAACGAATTGGACAGACTTAACTACTTCGTAGCTCCGGATCTCGGGTTATATGTTATCTACATGCATTACGTATTGATTATCTCTGCTACTGGGCGATTCCACGAAAGTGCAGGGAGCATATTCGAGCGGTGATTGAATACCGAGATGCAAGATGATCACCTTACGTAAGGGATAGTAAACGAAGGGTTCAGGTTAACGTTAAGATTAAGATCCAGGGCCGAGGCACGCTAATGCAGCCCATTTTTTCAGCCTTATGGGGCTTCGCTGAGGATGCAACGGTGGCGCCACCACGTCACATGGTTGGACCAATGCCAAGGGGATGGGGGCATCCGCGCAGGCTTGGATGTTGCTCGTACATATAGCTATGTACCTTAATTACAGACGACTGGAAGTACCTAGGTGAGGTACGAAGTTTTCCCAAGTACGTAGGTACTCCATTGTACACACATACAACGTGCTCTCTAACTTTCCCACGCTGGATAAACGTAGGGATAGTGATCTGGGTCCATAAATCAGCCTGTGAGGATCGTTGATATCGGGAATTTCTATAAATTAATATTGGGGATAAGGAGTTAATTTAATACCCCTAATTTGATTTGATTAATCGAAGAGCAACGCTGGTTAGACAACTCATAACCCGAGATCCGGAGCTACGAAGTAGTCAGGTCTGTCCAATTCGTTATTAGTGATTGCTCACTTCGTAAATCTACTATATCTACCCTTGCCGAAAGCCATAACGCCAGGGCAAGTGAGTACCAAAGCTTCCGACCTAACCTCTTTACAGGTTAGCTCCCGGCCACCGAAAGTTCCGGGATCTCGACCTGTCGCTGCAGGTTCATAGACCCGCTAAGTCCGTTAATAACCCTATATCCAGGGATTCCGAGCCCTATAGTACACAGAATTCTATTCAGCTCCCCCAGTTCAGGCCAGCTTATTACGTGCTTAAATTCCATATATTCGTTTTATCCGGGTAGTCTTATATAGTGCGAATATCGCTACCAGGACCTATTATCCTTATCCCTTTATCCATTATTTATAGTTATCATCACACTGAATAATCACACTTCCCCCGTTTCTTAGTACCTGTGTTAATTATATTCGCACTTATTATTTTTATAAGCAGTGTAGAAGAATCTTAGGGCGCGACTTCTTATTCACGGAGTCGAAGCGGTTTCTCCACTATATATAGGGATCTAGACCGCTTTAAATTGGCAATTGATAATAATAAACTACTAGAAATAAACTTATTTAGTTAACTAACCGATTAGTCTAATATCTTCGGATTAGATATCTTCACCATTATACGAAGGGTCCCTAATCTTCGTTATATTATACTTTTTGCTAACGCTATTATAAGTAGTCGTTATATTCTTAGTATAAAATATAAAAGCAATACCCGTAAAAGATATCTGATTTACCGCTTAAGAGGTAGATAAGAAAACTAATATCTAGAATTAGGCTATTTGCCCTAAAAGGGGGTTTATAACCTGATTCCTAGATAGAATACTCGGCGAGAACTTAATACTTTATAGAATTATTATACTTATATTCTATATATCTAGAGAGACGATAGTCTTACTTTTATTCTATTATAGGCCTATATTAGTAAGATCTGCATTATAAAAAAGGTTACCGGATATCTATAGTTTAGTTAGTAAGAGGTGTATCTACGCTAGGAAATATTAAGTTAAAGATAGTATCTAGATTCCGTGTATAATTCTCTAAACTATTTCCACTTCATAGAAATATATTATTACTTAGTATTTCCGCTATAGTAAAGTTATTCTAGTCGAATAAACTAAGCTTATTATAGACGGGAAGCTCGCTATTAGATATAGTTTCCTAAGTATTAGTATTTTAGTAGCTCTAAGAATAAGAGAAATAGTTAGTCTAATTGATAGTAGTAATAGAAGATAATCCAGAAAGTTCATCTTCTTTGAAATCCTGGTTAAACGAAGAATCGTTTACTCTAGGAATAAATCTTATAGTAGTAGCAGGCTAATAAACCAGATATTTAATTTAAGGAAAAATAGAATTTATCTAGGCTTAGTCTATTATAGAAATATTAAGCAGGGCTCTGAATATAAAGGGAGAGTAGTAAAATCTAATAGGTATAAGTATAATAGATAGAGAAGCTATTATAGACATCTGCCACTAAGATAACGGTAGAGATAGTATATATAGAGGTAATAATACAATCACGCGATCTCTTTATAACGTATTCGGCGCGAACTTATTAAGTCTAACCTTAGAAAGATACTATTTTCCACTTAGCTCCGAAGTAAGGCGTTAAAGAACTATAATAGGCAGAATACTCATAAGTTCTGCTTAGGTTATATTAAGACCCAGCTTAGGTTCATTATCAAACTCTATAGTATATATTAGGAATATTAAATAGGTTTTGTAAAGAGTAAGAAGGTAGTGTTAAGAGGGGATCAGATAGGGACCAAGTGGTAGTCACTAAGGTTAGAATAGTAGTTATAAAGGCTTAAAGGTAGGGGGGGACCAAAGAATTAGATTAATCGCTGGCCTCCCTTTAATAAAGGGAGTGTCGTCTCTAGCACTTAAGCTACTTAATCCTCGAGGTCTTACTCGACGACCCTTAAGTCCGTTTACTTATTTGTTTGCTTAGTCTAATATCTTTATTTGTCCCTGCAGGTCTCTCCTTCTTTATCACTGCTATCTCTCCCTCTTTGCTTCTACGGTCTCTCCTACGGCCCGGGTCACATCCTGTCACCTCCGGCTCACTCCATAAACCTAAGGTGCTCCCTTAGTAACCCCTACGTGCCCCTGCCGTGGGCCTCCTCTGGTATATACACCTAACAGGGAACAAGATACAGCAGAAAGAAAGCGGAAAGAAATTGGATACGAGGTCGATGAGATCCCTGGAAGGCTACGTCTCTAATGCTTCTTATTCCAAGTATCAAAGATATAAGAGGGAGAGACTCAAAAAATTAATATCGTTACCGTCAGCGTTCCTAATTCTTAGTGGTAAAATGAGAAAACCCTACTAGGTATCTCAATCTGGATAGATACGTGTAGGTAGGACTTGAGGAAGGCATAGTAAGCACACTAAGCACAGTAAGGTACGGATTAGTTCATCTAAACGGGTACTAGCCGGGAATTACGACTCGTAAAAACAGGGTAGGTACGGAATAGTGGGAAGACTCCTAGATAGAGTAGGCGTGTAAGTTAGAAGGGAAGGCACACCACCTTATACTCTACCAACCAAGGCTACCTGCCTAAGCAAGCTTTCTTAAGTTATTTCATATTGTTAATCCAAAACATTACTATAAATGTGAAGCTTTATAAAATCTGTTACAACGTTTTTAAGATCCTTGTATCTTTTAGTCCCTTACGATAACAGAAGTGTAACCAAACAAAATACGTCAAAAGTCGAATTCTCGCATAGTATATTCCTCTATAGCTCTAATTATGACTTGCGTATTTCTACTGTATAAGTTGATTTTGTGTTCTTAGGTCCCTTACCTCGTGTCCTAGTGATTTTATGCCCTTGAACCGTTCTGCTTCCTAGTATAAAACTACCTAGGAAAATAGCAAATATAGGGAAAAGGCAGGCAGCACTTTAGAGAATATATTCCTGTCTGTTAGTAATCATCTATTCCTATTCTTGCCTATTTACACGTATCTTCGCTATATAACTGCCTTATAGAGATATATAACTCTTCCAACTTTCCTTGCCTACGAGGTAATATAAACCTTCTATAAAAACTGAGAAAGGGAAGGCGTACCCTAGACACGTGTAGACGTGTTTCTCTATTGCGGGGCAAATAACACCCTTTACCACCTAAGTACCTTACCAAAGGTAGCTTATCTTCCTATAACACCTCCACCTTTCTAAGGTTCTTAATTCTCTCTCTCTTCCGCGGATTACGCTTTTGTCTACTTCCTTTCTTCTTTATACCTGCCGAGAAATAAAAGATATTATTTTCTTCTTAGTTTTCTATTCTAATCTTCTAAAAGACTTCTCCTTAATAATCTCCTAATAGATACTAATAGCCTCTAGCTATAACTCTAGGTTCCTAGCATAATAGCCTAACCTATTAGCACCGCTATTATCGCCGTTATTCATAATATCCTTAATATATAGTTTAATACGTTCCAGATTATTATTATAGTTAAACACTTTAAATATAATATACTTTAGGGAGGGGGTCGAGCTTAGATTACGGAGCATCTTAGGTATATTACTCTTATAACTTTAATAAGCGTCTAATTACTTCTCTTTACTTACTCTTTATAGCTATACTCTTAAGAAAGATATTATTTAGGTTTAGGATAATACTATAATTATAAAGCGATACTTCGTGGGACCTATCGAAGAATTCATTAGTAATAATCGTATACTTATTAATATTAATAGGCGAGCCGTCCTCGTTCAACGCCCTACTAATAAGAGTATTATTAATAAAATACATGGCGACGATAAGTTAACGCGTAAATATTAGAAGATTACCCGTCTCTCTAATACCTATATCCTTTATTCACGAATAACAATATTTATAAGCACTCTTCTCGCTTTTATTTTATTACGGTACTAACTACTAGATAGCGAAAGTTCTCGGGAGTGTATAGAAGAATAAGAGTAAAGAGGTCCGCGAGAAGTATCACCGTATAGTAAACGAAATTAAGTATGATCTTATACGCGTATATCCGGAATACCGATATACTCCTTATCGTCTATATAAATATCGCCGATATACTTATCGTATCCAGAATAATAATACCTAAGGCTAATAGCTATTATTCTATAATTAGCGGTTCTAGATGTAAGTTTATTTATTCTTATATTATCCTCCTTAGTTAGTATACTTAACTCTCGCTAAGAAGAATATAAGGACCTTAATGCCCTAAGCAACTATATATAGACTAAGAGCTAACGAGTAATAGGTATACTATAAATACAGGAAGATATCGGTGCTGTTTTAGGTTGGATGTGTTTATAGAAAAGTAGCTTAGGATAAATTGTAATCTTATAGAGAAGCGAATAAGCGAACGGAAGGAAATACTATATTAACTTACATAATATTAAGATTATTTCTGGCCTAGCCCCTATTCACGGTATCGTTACATAAGTTACTTTAGATATCGTAAGCGCGCCCCGCCGCTAACTACCGGTCCGTGAAGGTGTTACCGTTAACTTAGAAGGGCCGGTCCCCGTTACCGGACTAGGTAATCTTAGGAGCGGCGATGCCGGTAATAGCGTTAGCGGATAAGGCGCCGCCGGAGCCGCTACCTCCGCTATTATTATTACCGCTATTATTATTATTATTGTTACTACCACCGTTGAAACGGCTGCCGCCGCCGCTAAAGTTAGGGAAACCGCTACTGTTATTGTTGTTACCGCCGTCGTTGTTATCACCGTTGTTATTGTTATTGTCACTATTATTATTATCACCGCCGTTATTATTGTTATCGCCGTTATTATTATCACCGCCGTTATTATTATTATTTCCTCTATTATTATTATTGCCTTCGATAATAGTAAACTTATTGCCTGTTTCACGTATTAGTGACCTAGACTGAAGGATAGCAGTAGGTAGTAACAAGGATTAAAATAATTAAAAGTATAAGAAACTTATAGTCGTCCTAGGTACTACGCTAAGCGATAGGTATGATAATAGGCTAGTAGTTAGTAGCGGCGAATATAATATAGATATAGTAGTTACCGAGAGGTAGATTACCAGTTACGGTAGTAGATAAAAGACTATTACTATCGCTCTAGTTATTAATACCCTTAAAGAAGATAAAGGTGGAGGTATTAAGGGGCTAATCAGGGCTAAGAGAGCCGCTAAGGTCCCACACGGTGATATAGGTATAGCTAATAGTACGGCCTGTATTATCGAGGTTCTAGGGAGACGAATAGCATATAGTCTAAGCGTTAGTAAAGGCGTTAGGGGCGAAGTCAGCGACGCGGACCTAAATATCGAAGTCGATATTCGCCTTAATATTATCGTTATAGGACGGGTTAACTAAGATACTAAAGACTATCTAGTTTTAGGCCGGAATACGGCCTATAAGAATACTATTACAGGAACCGCCGGTCTTCTGCTCGCCGTTAATAAGTTCTTGGCCCTGGCAGAAGTTAATAAAGTTAGCGGGATCTTGTTACGACGGCTTCCGGTCCTCTATAGTATAGCGAACGATAGGGGACTGGCGTCGAGGTTTTAGTTTAAAATAAGAAGAGGATGTCAACTAAAGAGCAGTATCTGTCGTTCGTAGTGGTCTGGTCGTAGTTGCGTCGTAAAGACTAGGCGTCTTCTTCACAAGGTAGGTTCAAGCGTAGAACAGTAGTCCAGGTGAAGACTTAGATTGATCAATGTCTTGTTCTCTAGTAGAAGCAAGACCTAGAATACTCTGGTATATATAGTAATGCCATCTGTGACTTCCTCTAGCCATATATTCTTGGATCGTTGGGAGCGTTGGAGAGTTGTGGTTCCAGACGCTCCCTTGTTCCTAGAACGTGGGAGCGTTCCGAGTCCTACGCTCCGTCGTTCCACCCTGGTCTTTTGGTCACGTGAGCCGCCACGTGATTTCCAGTGCTTCTGTCGGGGTTTCCTGTATGTTGGGCTCTTTGGCCGTGACAGATCTCTATTTAATAAGATATACGTTAGCCGGGACGCTCTACTGCCTATAAAGATACCTAGGTATAACGGGATTTCTTATATAGCGGCTTCGACGCTACTGTTACCTGGCTAGCCCGGCTAGTTAGAGCCCTACTGGATTAATTCAGGAAGGAGATAGGTGTTTACTCCGCCGTTATTATTACCACCGTTATTATTACTCCTATTATTGTTATCTGAGCTTACGGTTAGCCAGGGTATATAGATAGCGAAATTAGTGATCGTGTGCTACTTACTATTGTCACCATTGTTGTTGTTGTTGTCGTTGTTCCCGTTATCTAAACAAACTTATTAGCTACAGGGATCTGAAATACACATCATTACAGGAAGTCGTACTGTTGTTATCATCATTGTTGTTATCATCATCGTTGTTGTTATTATTGTTGTTGTCATTATTGTTGTTGTCATTATCGTTGTTGTCTATACGTGGTTAGTAGCTAGTACGTCTAGAAGTAATGTCCGGAGCCGACTTACTGTCTCTATTGTTTCTATCGTTATTGGCGTTGTTATTATTGTTGTCATTGTTGTCATTGTCTGGCCATTACTTTTAATCGAGTGAGTTAGTCGTACTGCCGCCGAAGCCACCGCTACCAAAGCCGCCGCCGCCACCACCGTTCCTAAAGCGACGGTTGCCGCCGTCAAAGCCGCCGCCGCCGAATCCACTACCGAATTGCCGACGGGCGACTATACAGGAATATAGAGAATTATGTTGGCTGAGAATGCTAGCTTCGGTAACGGCGGATAGGCCGGCCAGGGCTATTATGAAGTGCGTGATATATATCTTAATATCGAGGAAAGAGGAGAAGTAGAGGGCTGGATATCGGATGACTGGACTAGAACCGTTATCGTCTCGCAGAAAAGTTTTTAAGTGGAAAAAAAAAAGTCGATAGGTTTTCTTATAAGCTACTAAGTGCCTTGTTCGAAGAGTAGTAGAGAAAGTCGTAAAAAAAGGTGGTGCTAGACCGGGTATAGAGTCGAAAATATTTAATAAGAGAAAGGAAGGTTATAGACGTTTAGGGATATGTAGTCCTTAGAAAAGAAGAAATAAATAAATAGCAGACGTGAAAAAAAGATACTCCTAGTGTGAAAAGAAGAAAGAAAAGTAAAAGAAGGGTGAAAAGAATAGAATAATAGAAGAAAGAAGAGATTAGATAGTAAGGTTAAAGGGGGGAGTTATTTAAAAAATAGTCTTGAGAGGACCGACCCTCCCCCCTATTAGAGTTAAGAGCTATAGCTCGAGTTGGAATATTACTTGGAGGCGGCGACCGTCCTACTAAGATAGAGATAAGGGCAAGGAGGTATCGATCTCCGCGATCTTAAAATATAGTATAAGGGGTTCCTTAGGGAAAGGGTGGATAGATAGCCTAAGAAGGGCTAAGAAGGGTATAGTAGGAGAAAGGGACTTTTAGTCTATAGGAGAGAAAGGGGCAGCGATTTCTAAGGAAAGTTAGGATATAACAAGCGTAAGGATATAGGTAGAGAGGTTTCGTGGGTAAGAGAGCTAGCTAGGTGGGCATTATCCGTATATATAGATACCTATACTGCTATTCGTTAGGTCCGGACTCCGGAAGGGGATCAAGCCGCCCCAGAAACCTATAGACTCCTTGGCTCGGCATTGCCATGACAAGCGGAAGTGGAGGTTAAGATGCATGCAGCACGTTAAAGATAACGGGTTTCTAAGATTCTGCTATATTAATTATCTATGATATCCTATCAAGACAGCTATAGGATATTATATGCGTTCTAAGTCCGACTGGCCCTGGGTGAGAGAGAAATTAATGTGGTTCGTCCTAGGACTGCTGAGTATGGTGTAAGGGCCCAAATACAAGAAGAACACCACATAAACGCATTAGGCCCTGCAAACACAAAGACATTGGGTCTGGTTTCTGCTACGAACTAGGGAGGTATACCCGGTATTATCTGAAGTCGCGATACGGCTCCCCGTGTCACAGAATTAGATCAGTGGGTCTACCAGGGGCTATTTCCGCTAATAAGGGGATAACGTGTGAGCTGCAGAGTAGACGCCAAGGCCTAGGGCGTTTCGAGCCAGTTACTCTTAGGCGCTGCTAAAGCGACTAGGCCCTTAGCCGAGTATTAACTATACTATTGCACGAAGTAGTCCGAGCGCGACTACGAAGTACATGTAATTACACCGAGTACCCAAGGTACCTTAGTTCCAAATCTTCGCAAGTCTGGTAGGGACATCGGTATTCGCGGGCTGATGGCACAGTATACAGCATACGAACGTAGAGACTAACAATAGATAGCTAAGGTAAAGGGTAAAGGTAGCCAAGGAAATAGAAGCAAAGAAACGCTTCTCGTCCCCCTGCATACAACTGACAAATTCGTCTCATGTGCAGAATCTCCGTTGATCATCAGATTTCCTTATCTCTCGTTCACCTCGTCATAGTGTCTAGTTTTCAACTACTCGCAATAGGACATGGGGGAACAGGTTGGGGTGCGTCAGGTATCTAAATTGACCAAGCAATACCTACGGACGAGTAGAACATACGCGTGAGGCACACGGCCGGGGGGGGGATCAATAGTCATTCTCTGTCTCGCTATTTTACATCCACGCGCGCGGCCGACGTCGGGTGCTTTAAATGATGGACGATTCATTGGCCAGGAGCACACCCGAGACCTCTGGAGATTAATTTACAATGCCGATCAGCCATCTCGATACGTACTTTGTATAATGATGAAAAGCTGCCAAAATTTCTAGAGAACGGACACAGCGTCCGAAGCCATTCCCTTTGATGCGGATACCCCTTTCCCCCTTTCCCATTTGCGATGGCCGACGAGCCGGGAGCCAAGATCACACCCCTTTTTTGGATAATCGAAATTGTTTCGAAGGATCGAGTAAAATATCCTTGATGGGAGACATGGGATGAAAGAAAAGGTTGGGACGGGGAGAAATCAGAAAACGCCCGTCCCGTTCCTGCAGGTGCGAAAAAAAAAGTGGGCTAGCGTTAGTTATAATGTGCTTCGGGATATGGAGTCTACCTACTATGTAGTTCTAGTTTCGACTGCTCGCTCTTTGGTGTGTCGACTTCTTACTGCCTACCTAGTACGACGTACATATATGTAAGGATGAGGTAGGTACCTTAGGTACGTAAGGTGCGGAGAGATACTTAATTCGTACAAGCGTCATGTTCCTGGTTTCTCCAATCCCGAGGAGTATGCCAAGAGCAGCACGTGGGTTTGGTTTAAGGGTCTGCCAAGTCGGGCTTTTCTGCACCATAGTGATTATGAAGTACGAAGTACGTAACAGAGTTCACAAGGGTAAGACCTAACTACCTTAATTACTATAGTGCCTGTGACGTGAGCAGAGAACCTGGAAGAGAATACGACGTGCCTTCGCTGACACTTTTGGCAGCCTTACGTTCGTACCCGTACTTTGCGCCCGGGCCACTTTTGCAGTCTTTTGCGGTCTTTTACGGTCTTTTACGGGAGACTTCCTCCTATAGTATATACCTATACAGGCCGTAGAAGCTGCTACTTCGTAATATATATGTTTTTAACACTTTAGATATATGTATAGTAATAAAACGGTGCGGATCGCCTATAATTTAAGATAGTGGGACTATTCTACGTAGTTCTCTTTTTATAGTGCCTAGTTTACCCCTTTTTAGGTTCTATGCCGTTTATTTTTTTTAACGCCGTTAAGCCGCCCGTCCTATACTAACTATAGGTTCTGCGGCTCCTCCTCAACTAGGTCCAATACCTAACCCTCTACTAGATCCTCCCCCTAATCCTCCTACGGCTACGCGTGGCCGCGGCCGCTGTCGCCGTTAACGGGAGGACAGGTCTACTCTCGGCTAGTACTATATATCCTATAGACTTTACCGCCCGATTAACGCTTTTACTACGCGCTATAACGGTGCTCCGTATAATACCTATAACGACTACTCAAATAGCCGAAATAGCAGGACCCGTACTAAAGGGGCTATTACTGCCAGCTAGCGTAGGGCGCGTCTATAGCCTAAGGTGCGTATAGGCCTATTAGGGTAGTATTTTCCGGGTAATACGGTTAAATACTACGACCAAGAGTTAATACGCGTAGAGTATAAATATCATAGCGCGTAGCACTGGCTTACAGAGAGATTATAGGTAAGTTCCCCCTTATACCCGTTATAGACTATTAGTTAACCGCTATTTTTTCTTCTTAGTATTTAATAACTACGAACCCGAGATTTAGCACCTATTATAACTAGGGTAACGTTAATATTTCCGTTATTCCCCCCCTTCTCGATCTCTTTAAATACCTATTATACGCCGATATGGCTTAGGCCGCGGATTATCGTAAAAGGACCCGTTAGTATAACAATACCTTTTCCTTTACTTTAGTATAATATACCTATTACCTCGAATTAGCGTAATACTGCTTTATTATCGGATTCTGCGTTCTAGGATAACGGTATAAATATTTCTACGCCTTTATCGCCGTCTCTTGGAGACACGATCAGAAGTAATATAGGATCGATAAAGAGTAACGCAAATGCTATAACAAGGGGTCTATTTACTCGGCGGGAAACTATAGGCGACTTATAGTCTAGCGGATAGTCTAATAGCGATTCGAGCTATAAGCGGACTACGCTCCCCGCTATAACGAGTATAGCGATATAGGCGCGATAATAGGGCTAGAATGCACTATAGTGATAGAAAGAAGGGCGAATCGGCTTATTCGGCGAGTCGTCGCTATTACCCCCCTTAGACTTAAGTAAGCCTATAGGCTAGGGCTAACCGCTCCCTCCGCCAGGAACGCCGCTTCCTAAGCCGGATAAGAACTCGAAGGTTACTATAATCCCTGTACCACCTAAGCGTAAACCCGTACCGCCGTCGCCGCCGTAGGCTCCGGAAAGGTTACACGAAACGTAGCTCTCTAAAGAAAACAGGAGCGGGGACGCGAAAATAGAACGCTAACCACTACAGACACCTCCGTTACTAGCGCGGAGACTAAGAGATAGGGGTGGGAATAAGAGGGGTAACGGCAACGACGTGCTTATTATCGCTGCACCGGTTAGGTCCGAGCCGTCGATACCGATAGAAGAGGAGATCTTAAGGGGCTACGAGGAGTCGGGTTACGGGTAGTAGCCGTGGGCCGAGGACCGAATAGGCGCCGATCCGAGTAGTCTTAATTCTTCTCTTACCCGCCGTCTTATGTTTCTAGAAGGAAACGAAGCGACTAGTTTAGGAGAGTCGGTGCGGTTAGATAAGAATAGTCCGGGACTAGATAAGGAGGAGAATAGTTCTATAGAGGCGCGGCCGGCTTAGGGGGTTTAGTAAGCCGATAATAAGGAGGACTTTTCGGGATAGTTTACTAACGGTAAGTTAAAGAAAGAAGAGGAGAAGAAGTAGGAGGAGTAGGGGAGTTAGATAGTGGAAGTTAAGCGTTAAGGCCGGACGGAAACTACTATAATAGAGCAGCACTACAGTGGGTCGATTCACTTAAGGCAAAGGGTCGCTTAAGCTAGGACGGGTCCCTATATTTGGGAATATAATATATCGGAGCGGTAATAAGATAAAATAAGTATATTCGGGTGGCTGGCCATTATACTAGGCGAACTAAGAGAAAGACCTAACCCGCTAATTCTTAGAAACTTAAAGGGGGGGAATATAGTATCTAACTCTTATCAGGTATAGCGGTATAGGGTAAAGCGGTGTTCTAAATATATATATAGAACCTAGGGAAGATAAAGACGGTATAAATATATATAAGATAACTAATACCGTATAAATGCCGCTCTAAAGGTCTATGTATAAGAAGAGCAGAGATATATAGACAGATAAATATTATAAAATTTTATTAATTTTTAGAATTAGTGAATTTATGATTATTCTTTTTTTTAGTTTCTTCTTTATCCCTTTCCAGCCTATTTATTTATACTTTTATTTATTCGGGCTTCTTAGTAATAGTCTTACCGTCCTTATTATAGAAGATCTCCTTTACTTTAACGGAACGTAGATAATCTATACCGCGGCTAAGCTTATAATCGTGGTGCAATAACTACTAACGGCCCTAGAACTTAACGATAAAGTAGTAAGTAGTCTAGCTAAGGATAGACTCTAGGATATAGCCACCGTAGGTAAAGGGGCCGAGGGGGTTATCGCTAGTAGCGTAGTAGAGGTAGTGGGTATCGCTAGTAGAGTAGGAGAAGTAGTAGGTACTATTATGTTTATTGACCTAGGCGGCCTCGAAGAAGCGGCGGTCGTGGTTATTAGCGAGGAAAGGCTTCTAGGTATCCGGGTTAAGGATCTAGACCTTCTAGACCTTAGCGGTGAACTCCTTTATATTATCGGTGAGCTTAGCGGCACGGGGCCCTATAGCGTAGACGCCCTCGCCCGAGGGCTTTTTAGGGCCGGACTACTCCGGGTTAAAGAGGTTATTACCCTTCTAGTTGTATTATAGCTAGCCGCCCTAAAGGCCGCCAAAGTAAAGGTAAGCCTAGCTATTATCGTTAATATAACTAGCCGGGTTAATAGAGTAGAAGCCTTTAATAGGTTCGGGCTTAGCCTTAAAAGGGCTATAGGGGCGGTCACTAACGGCGACGCTAATACGGAAGATACCCTACTTATCGCGGGCGGGGAAGATGAGGTAGTACTTACTATCCTTAAAGGCGATGTCGGGAGCCTAAAGCTACTTAAAGACCT